CTCAAGATTGAAAATAAAAAGGGACATTCTATTATACAGGGTACTAAGTAAGTCACACACATGACCTAGTAGAGTGGAGTGACGGGAGTGAACTCAACCGAGACGTCCAAGTCTATAGAGCTTAAGGTGGGAATGAATCAGAATGAATGAATGAAAATCAGAATGATATACTGTGCACGACAGCATTGAAGGGAGTCGTGCGGGTAAGCTGTGCAACTAGTGGGGATGAACCAAGTGACTAATCCTTTATAATATTTATCATTATTTCTTGGTAATTTAACATTATGATTATTAGCATAAATGTTTAAATTAATAAGTGTTTACTAAGTACTTTAATTTGAAATAAGTAGTTAAGTTTCAGATGTCTATCATCATCATCATTACAGCTCTTCATAAGTCCACTGCTAAACTAACATAGGCCTAGCCCCAGAAAGTTATTTTATAAAAAAAAAAGATGGCAAAAATTGTGAATACAGTGGACCCCCGGTAATCCGGCCCCTGTCTAAACCGGCACCCCCGTAATTCGTCCATGAAATCCGCCATGGTCTATTATATATTATTGAATATTTTTGAACAATCTTCGCTAATGCATGATTGAACAAGTTATAACTTGTACGCCCCTCCACTATTGTGCTCGACGCGTAGGGTATTGTTTTGATACTTATTAAAAAATTTGATTCTGAAAATGGTTGAAATATCATAATTTTCCTCAAAAAGCGATATTACTTCTTAATAACGCTCTTAAGTTGATGCTTCTTAAATTGATTGATTCATATTTATTTTAGTATGAGCATTTGTTTGTACACAATTATTTCCTAATGTAAATTTATTGCATATTTTTTGTGAGTTCTATAGCTTTAATGAAGTTAATTTTATAATAAAACGTAAGCTCTCTATTGTGTTATTTAATTTACTAAATTTGACATACATAATGAAGTATGATTTGTACTTCGGAGTACATATATATAACATATAGAATCTTATCATTATATCTGCAATTTTTTGGATTACAAGGTACTCTATTGTAAAAAATTCCGGACTATAGGGGTCTTAGGCAGTACTCTATGATCCGACAAATTCGATAACCGGGGGTCTACTGTAATGTTGTTCCCTCCCTAATGTGTTTCCCTCCAGGTTCTTCCTTTCTCCCTCTGCACTGTCACAGCTAATTTTCATATTTTTAATAATTTAAAAATAACTTTGAACTAGTAAAATCTAACGATATACTAAGAGTGCATATGTGAAGATACGCTGGCTGCTATGGCAGTAATTGTACCGCAGTCTTAGCTCCGCCTACCGATTCGCCGTAGCACAATACCAACACACCTGACGTAGCACGTTACGAAACTTACTGCTACGACGGCGCCTACAACGGTAAGAAATCGAAATCCTGTTAATTTTGAGCGTCTGCGTCATGAGATCGCTAGGGGGTTGAGAGGTTAAACCAAGCTGATGGAGTAATTGCTTTCATCAGAGATACAATCGCCGCTTCAGTAACACAAACAAACAGAAATAAAGCATACCCATGCGTCATGCAAATTACCACAACTGATCTACGAGTAACTATTATTGGCATTTAACATTTCCCATCAATGATAAACGTTGACGATTTCATAAACTCTTTAAATTCCCACTTAAATACGATTAATACATAAGTGCAGAAATGTTATTATTACAGGCGACATAAATATAAACTTAATACTCAAAACGGACGAAACAACACAAGAACGCACAAATAGAACAAAGTATCTTAGTATGCTTACCGTGCACGGAATGTTACCAGGACATATCCTATTAACAAGAGGAGAGAATTGTCTTGATCGTTTCATAATAAAATTTAGTAATGGTCGTAAAACAACATCCATTACAGTTATTGATTCCAGTATCACAGACCACACTACAATCTTGCTTAAAATATCAAATTTAAAAATCAATAACAAAAACAAAACTAAACTATTTTATCGTGGGGGCAGTTTACAAACATAAATTGCACAAGGACAAATATCCAGACCCGGAACAACTATTTGTAGGTCATACAAATACTTGTTCCGTGCGGGATTCGAACCCGCGACCCCCAGCGCAGCCACTCATTGCTAAGCCACTGCGCCACGGAGTCGTCAAAGTCAAGTTATCATTGTTCAATGAATAACATTCTCTAACTGTCACCAAATGTCGCATAGCACTCAGTTGCGCTTATGAGTGAAGAAATTCGGAGTAATGATACTCTTAATTTCTTCATTCAAGATATGCTATAGGGTAAACGTTTAGTTTCTTATTAAGTCTATTATATATGTAAGCAGATTGACTGTTTTATGGCCTCCTTGCAAATACCGATTTAACCGGGGCTAAGGATCAACGTTAACGATCGTTGTACGATTGCTTTTTCTTGGGTCGTAGGAAATCAATTTGTACTTTTTCGTGACAATACGCAGTGGGTACAGTTTTCTTACCGATAAGATACCACTTTTAAATGTAAACTATACGTTGGGAATCTGTATGGAGAAAGAATATGACTTTCAGAAGAGCCATTTGTGCTCTTTCCAGATTTAACAAACTAGTTTTTGTCGCACCTAACCAAACTGATATTTATTATTACTATTTATTAGTTTATATATTAGAAATTCCATTCAAGCTACGTGTCGTGGGTCTTAAATGCCTAAATTAGTTTTCTAACTCTGCTGGTGAGTAACTCTATATGTTGATACCAAGATATCTGCTGATCCAATATTACCCCAAGGTATCTCGTAGTAGAAAAAAATTAAAGCAGAACAAGAGAAATCCGAGACCAAATGATAGTTACAATAATGTAGCTTAATATTAAAGTTATCTGGACGCAGCACGTTGTTGTATTTGGTAAAACATATATAGTAAGTTTTAAGTACATTTAAAGTAAGTAGGTATTTGTATAACCAGGATGCTAATATCACTGAGCCAGTCTCCAAACGATTTTTAAGTTGCTCCTAATCAACAGCTGAGAAAACAATAGCTGTGTCATCCGCATATGAGAGGATGTCACCACCCTCTAGCTGCATATTACACTGGCTGTTGATGTAAACCAAAACCAACGTGGGAACCAACACACTGCCCTGAGGGACGCTATAAGTGACAGTTGAATCAGAGCTATTGATTGAGCCGATTTTGACAAGAGTTTTACGATTAACGACCAAGAAGTTTCACAGCGGTATAACTCTAACACCTATATCGTGCCGAGGACTACTCGTATCATATCGTACTGTACCGCACAGAAGCCTAACCTTCAATGAAGGTAGCAGCCGTGTCATAATTACGTATTACATAATTAACTTTGAGTCGGTTTTTTTTAAGTAAGGAAATAAACCTAATTAGTAAAAATTATTAATTAATTTTTGTTGACAATTTTTTCCAACCTACTACCGTTTTGAAATGAGGTTTCTTTAACCTGAGAGGAAAGGAGGAAATATCAGCCAATACTCAGCACACTTAACTTTTGAATAGTTACATACCTTATTTTTGTTATGAGTTGAACCTTTTTCCGATATTAATACTCAATGTATCCACTTAAGGCTTAATCACGATTTTGAAGACAAGTCAAGTATTGTGACTCTTTGTATTGCTTTGTTTCCCGGCTATTTATTACGAGTTTTTTTTTCGTTATTCCTTCAGAAATAAGGAAAAATATCTATTTATACAGTTAAATGTGGTACACATTATAACATACAATACAAGGTGATACGGATGTGGAAGTAAAACATTCCTATTTCTTTAGTATAATCTATATATTATATGTTGTAGATACATTTCCTCGGTTTTTCAGGACGAATAAAAACGCTTGTTATCTTCTTGCTGAGGGTAGGGCATAGCAGAGTTCCTATTTGAAGTTCGTTCTTCCCTTTTCTGGTAAGGCCCGAATGTCGAATGAATTCCCAGCAATTGGGTGCGATATTAATACGTTTTCTAGTAACTTTCTAGAACGATAGCACGATTTTAAAATTACCTTCCCACCGCTTTACTGCTATGTAAGTACGCGTTAGTTTACGCGCGCAACCCAGCCCCCCTCAGTCCAAGCACAAACATTATTACGAATTTAGGTATGACCTTACCTAAGGCTCAATTATACCTAAAACATATCATTATTTTTTATATCTTTCAATAAAACACAACAAAATATAACACTTTACTTACATACATACTTATTTGCATATAAGTTTCTATATGCGTATAAATATGTACGTTCATAAGTTTCTAACTCGTGTCTACGGGCTGTTGCTGAGATTTCCCTTATGGAAAGACTTGATGGCTGATTTTTTTCCAGACCCACAATTCAAGCCCCGGAGAATATTACCAGCAGTAGCGCTTATGACCACTACACCAACCAGGCGTTAAAAAAGTTAAGTACAGTGTACATAAATATTAGTGGTTGTAGTTACTACAGTTTGTAGTTACATTACAGGCTACCTAATACAGACAACAAGAAGCTACAAGTTTCGACTTGAAAGAAATGAAAGAATGACCTCAGCAGGTCATTTATAAATTTCCCTTCTTCATGTGACTATCTCGAAATAGAATTGTAATTAGGAAATTCGGTTATTACTTTCACAACGCTAAACAAACGAGTATTTTAATATTCAGAAAATAATTTATGGAATAGGGAATTGACGAGTCAGTCAGCGCCTTGCGAGAGGTGTGAGCGCCGTGCCTCGGCAGAATTTAGGGTGCAAAGGCCCGTTTGTGCTTATGGCCGTACACGATACGGTGCCGGGCCTGGGCGTCTCCCGTTAATAGACGCCCAGACCATGTATGATGGAAAAAAAATAGTGTGCAAAGGGCCGCTGCCTGGAGGTCGCCAGGGTGCGTCTGGAGCTGGCGCTGGACGCGACAGCATGCGAGCCGCCAGCCGAGCGCGAGGAGCTGTACGATCACCTAGCAACTCTCCACATCCATCATCCCCACCAGAAGTATTGGTGTCGGCTGAGTCTTCTCGGACTCAGCAAGTGGCACCCACCGCTGGTGGAGCACGTAGCATGCGTTGGTTACAATTAATGATCGCAAACGCACTGCGGGCGTACTTTAGGGCAAAAGGGGAAGAAACTGGATGTTTGGCGTATCGGGCTCGGATGCATCGCTTTTTTGCAGAGCTGGAGCCATCTCTATCCGTCACTGAGCAAAACCTGGCAGACCGAGTTCGGTATATCCTGCGCTCCAACATATTTGGTGACGCCGAACTCGAACGACTACGACGTGAGGCTGTTCCCTCATCAAATATAAATGCTACGGCTGGGAGTGCGGCGCCACTAGATGCGCAGCAAACTGCATATGTGGATGCTGCCGTCAATATTCCATTTGTGGTTAATTCAAACGATGATGGAATAGTCTCCCACGAACTAGAGAAAATGAGGAGCATATTGGAAGAGTCGATGCTGGAAACGCGCAGCATGCCTCTCGAAAATCGACCGCGACTTCCCCGCATTCCCCTTAGCAAGCGATATCGGGCTGTCATGCGGGCTCTTAATCCAATGCTGGTGACCTATTTGGAAGCCAGCCGGGACCATTGCGAGACGGACTCAATTCTTTTTGGCGCCGCACTGGCAGTATGCCGTATTATTGGCGATAAACTTCCCATGGCTGGACGTGCTACTCACCAAAGTAGCGCCATCCCAGACTGAAGAAAAAGAATCGAGGACCGTATCGCAAAGGCAAGTGCCTTTATCGGCAGACTGACAAGCTTCAGGTCGGGTAATAATAGACCAAGAGTTGTGCGCACCGTTAGAATGGCGTTTGCTGGGACAAATATTAGTATGTCCCAGCCGGATACCACGCAGAAACTAACGGAGCGCATAGATGACCTGAAGCAAAAAATCGCTGCTTGGGGGAAGCGGTTTCGATGATTTAGCGAAAGGTCAAGGCGGTTCAACCAGAATCGTCTCTTACAGAGTGATTACAAAAGGCTCTATAAACCATTGGAGCGACCAGAGGTATGTGGAGCGGGCCCAGGACCGGATCAGGCTGACACTGTCGCATTTTGGCGTGGCATGTGGTCAGAGCCCGTAAACCACAGCGAGGGCCCTTGGATAGAAGTTGTGGCGAGCCAGAGTGCAATTGTTACGCCTATGGACCTCGTCACCGTAACGCTTGAAGACGTGGCTGAGGCGGTCCGTAGACGAACTGGAAAAGTCCGGGGCTCGACGGGCTGCATCATTACTCGCTGAAGGGGTTCGACACGCTGTGCTCGCCCGACAGTTTCAAGAGGCTCTCGATCATAAGTCGCTCCCGAGCCTCTTCACAACTGGGATCACTCACTTGGATCCTTTTTTTTATATATAGAAGAAGGGGCACACGAGCAAGCGGCTCACCTGATGTTAAGTGACTACCGCCGCCCATGATCAACCGCAACACCAGGAGAATTGCGGGTGCGTTGCCGGCCCTTTAGAAAGGAGTAAGCTCTTTTCTTGAAGGTCCCCAGGTCGTATCGGTCCGCAAAAATCGCCGGTGGTAAACTATTCCACAGAGAGGTTGTACGTGGAAGAAAACTCCTTGTGAAACGTACAGTGGTGGACCGCCAAGCATCCAGATGGTGTGGATGGTATCGGGACGTTTGACGTGTGGTGCGTTCACGAAATTTGGCGGCTGGGATTAATCCGAACAATTCCTCAGAGCACTCCCCGTGATAGATGCGATAAAATACGCAAAGAGATGCAACATCTCTTCGTAGCGCCAGTGAATCGAGCCGATCGGAAAGCACTCGGTCGTCGACGATTCGAGCCGCTCTACGCTGGATGCAGTCAAGTGGAAGAAGCTGGTACTGGGGAGCCCCAGCCCAGAGATGGGAACAGTATTCCATGTGCGGCCGAACCTGCGCCTTGTAAAGTTGCAGGCGGTGTGCCGGCATGAAATACTGTCCCGCTCTGCTGAGCACGCCAAGCTTTTTAGAGGCCAATTTGGCCTTCCCTTCCAAGTGACCACGAAACTGCACGTCATTCGATATGTCGACGCCGAGGATTCCGATACTGGCTGAGACAACAAGGGGGAGTGCCTTGAAACTGAGAGGATACGACAAAGGGGTTCTTTTTACCGGTTAACGCGCAAACTTGTGTCTTCTGGGGGTTAAACTTGACTAGATTTAGTCGCCCGCAATCCGAGACTCTGTCCAGCAGAGACTCGACTTCAGACACAAGTTTGTCCCGGCACTCGGAGACGTTTTCCCGAGAAATATTGGCTCGGCCGGTGTAAAGAGCATCACCAGTGCTGTCATCTGCATAGCAATGAATGTTACGGGTATGCAACATGTCATTGATATGCAGAAGAAACAGCGTTGGCGATAGCACGCAGCCCTGTGGAACACCAGCATTAATAGGCTTGCAATCGGAGCTTGCACCGTCTACAACGACCTTTATGCTCCGCTCTGCAAGAAAGCTGGTGATCCAATCGCACAATTTCTCGGGAAGCCCATAGGGAGGGAGCTTCGAAAGAAGCGCTTTGTGCCAAACCCGATCGAAGGCCTTCGCAATGTCGAAACTAACGGCCAATGCCTCCCCCTCGAACTCTACTGCCTCCGCCCATCTGTGAGTTAGGTAGACCAGAAGATCACCAGCTGACCGACCACGGCGAAAACCGTATTGGCGGTCACTAATCAGCTGGTGATCCTCAAGGTACCTCATGAGCTGGCAGTTTACAATGGACTCCATTGTTTTGGAGAACAAGGAGGTGATGGCGATTGGCCGGTAGTTGGACGGGTCAGAGCGGTCGCCTTTTTTAGGGATCGGGTGGACGTAAGCCGTCTTCCATGATTTTGGGACTACGCCTAGGGAGTAGGAGTACCGGAAAAGACGCGTTAAAACCGGTGCCAACTCTGGAGCACACGTCCTCAGCACAATTGGGGGGATTCCATCAGGCCCACTCGACTTGTGGATGTCCAGGGAGAGGAGTACTTTGCATGCCGGCATGGAGCACTCACGCCGCGGGATGGTCGGCAGAGCACTCCCCCCGTCATCGAGAGTCGAGTTAGACGCAAAGAAAGAGCCTAGAAGATCGGCTTTCTCCTTTGCGGTATGGGCCAGTGAGTCGTCCTCCCTGTGCAGAGATGGAAGAGACGGCTGACAGAAATTCCCCTGGACAGCCTTGGCGAGAGACCAGAATGCACAGGTTCCAGAAGGAAGGCGAACTAGTTTCTCGCCAATTCTGCCTATGTGCTCTGACTTTGCCTTGGCAATGATTCTTTTGAAGGACCTAGAGGCGGAATTATACTTCTTTTTTAGAGCGCTGGTGTTTACATCCCGGGACGCTGATGCATCAGCCCAGGCTTGGTTAGCACTCCTGCTTATAGCATGATGCTATTTTACAGGAGCGACCAAACCATGGCTGAGACTTGCCTCCAATGGGCACCACAGAGGAAGGAATAAAAAGTTCCATACCCTGAAGTACCACATCAGCAACAGAATCCGCAACAACGTTGGGATCATCCGGCGAGAAGCAAACCCGCCCCCAAGGGTAGGATGCAAAGAAAGACCGCATCTCATCCCAATCGGCTGACCTATAGTGCCAAACACGGCGGCAGCCTGCAGAATGCAACCGCGATTTCAGCGTGAGTGGCACCACACTCCGGACCAGACAATGGTCCGAGGAGCCTAAAGGGGCGTCGACGGAAATCTGATATCCGTCCGGATGAGAGGTCAGCAGAAGGTCCAACGGGGAAGGTGCATGATCCTCCACATCTGGAATCCGCGTAGGCGAAGTAACCAGTTGTGTCAGACCATATGCCAAGGCAAAATCATGAACAGATCTCCCCGCATGATCGGTTAAACGTGAACCGAGCCATTCGGCGTGATGGGCGTTAAAGTCGCCGAGGATCACGATCTCTGCGGAGGGGATCTGCTGTAGCAACGAATCTGCAGCCATTTGGACGTGGTCGAATAGTCGGTCTGTTTCGGCATTACCGCTATGGGACCTATAGAGGCACCCGTAGACGCGCGGATGGTCGTCGCTGTCTACGCGTAGCCAAAGTATGGACAGGTCAAAGTTCCACCCTCTAATCTATTTTTATCGCTAAATATGAGCACCTGCACGGCTGTGTTGCGGCCTGAAGGGTATAAAAAGGCAGTAAAATTATAGGCTAAGTGAAATACCATCTTAACCCAAAGGAGTGAAAATTCATCTGTAGCCTTGGGTCCATGGATGGACTGTAGTAGCCACCTACTGTCCGTTGGACTTTCAGTTCGTGTGTCACTTTACTTTTATAAAAAAATTACAAAAATTATGTTAGTCATATTTTATAAACACATATTATATCATAAAATTATATCAAACTCGTGTTGTTTTACCTAAATCTATATTATCTAAATCATGAGAAAAACTCAACTAAGTTAAACGTAAATAAAGCTTTTAGACTCTATTTGCAACTGAAATTGAAGGAGTCTATGTCCTTAAAACACTAAGAGAAAAAGTAAAAAATATAAGGCAATACAAAACGAGATATACTGCACCCTTTATATACCAGAGACTTGCAAATGATATGATGACAGTTTTTGTATGATGCATCAAATTATATCCTATATATAAATTGTTTTATATCTACGACTAAAAGCTTGAAATTTATTTAAATTCCACGTGAGATTACTCAGTCTTATTTATTCAAGTCCCTTGTTACTAGCAACGTTAAAAATTAACGAGCTCGCCGATTTCAAGTGTTGTAAATTAACCGCATTTTAACGAGATCGCTGAGTAATTAGCTGTTCCGATGGAGGCAGCTCCAGCTAGGTAGCTGCCGCCTTAGCTCCCACCACGGCCGCCTCCACTGATCCTTTGAGCCGTCAACAGTCTACTTTTCAATCTGTTCCATTGCCGACGGCCTCAGTGAAGGTGTACAACCCGAGTGGCGACTGTTTAACGGTTCGCGCTCTATTGGATTCGGGTTCACAACGCTGTGTGGCACTTGGTTGGTGGGAAGACTAGGGCTGCCCTGGAGCTCTGAATCACGTCCAATGGTAGATATCGGAGGTGCCGAGCTTCCTGCTCCTAGGGGACAAGCAGAGTTGGTGTTAGGCCCTGCCAGCGAATACCTTTACATTCTAGTTAAAGTATGTAGCCGTGGAAGGAAAAGGGGAGATCTCCCGCCAGGCAAGGTGTTCTGCCTGGGGAGCGGCCGACACTCCGTGTGATAATTCGGAGATGTTCTATATATACTGTTTATGATTCGGAATGTTGATAGCGCTGATATCGACGATCATCACGATGGACCACTGATTGTCGAAACATCATCCGAATATCGGCTACAAAAACACTTGATGTTGACGGAAGTGGGTCAAAATGTCGGATATGTCCTTGATCAATTTAGGGCCAGAGTGGCGACACTGGTTCAGGGACACACCATTTGACGAGGGGGCGGAGCCGTCACAAACTACCCGAATCTTACTCCCAGGGGTCCTCAAGACCGCATAGTGAGGGAGGAAGTAGTGCTCCTGTGACCACCAGTCGAAGTTGGACGGTGATATGTGACCCAGCTCTTGATACTCGCGCATGAACTCGACATATTTGTCGCGAAAGGCTGGGTCGCGTGGCATACGGCGCTTCATTGAAAGCAACTTCTTTTCGGCCAGCGCACGAGATTGGCCCAAAGGGGGCCGTGAGTCAAGAAAGGGTAAGCGAGTGACAAAACGACCGTCGACATGAC